CACACATTTATATTTACCCAACACTCAGGGCAGACAACAATTGCACAAAAAGCCATTCGCAGAGACAGAATCAATGTAGAGAAGCCCTGGTGCAAGAAAAAAAAAATTGTGACCTCTAGCACATGCTTGGCCAAAAGGTAGATCCCCATCTGTCGTACAACTCTCACAATGCTTCTCCAGCTGGGAATTTGCCATGTGCCCATGCTTGCAGACCTGGATTTGTGAGCAATGTTTGCGTTTGAATGTAAGCATGTTTTGTGTGTTTGAATGTATGCATGTATTTGCGTGTATTGTTGGCATTTAAATGCAGTTGTATGTTTGGATGTACGGTTGCTATTTGAAAGCAGTGGTGTATTTGTATTTAGTGTTTGTGTTTGAATGTAGAGTCTGATGTTAATTGTATAGCGTTATGGAATTTGCTGGCGCTATTTAAATAATAAAATAATAATAATAATTGCTGGGATATATGCACATATCCTGCCCCCCACATGTACACTGAAACACACACATACAGGTAACACACACAAATAACAATGATGGCAAATTTACATATTTTTAACCACCCCCTGCTTCCATACCTTTTTTGGTGCAGAAGGGCAGCTTCCGTTGGGTCCAGTAGTATATGATTGATCACTATTGTCCTCCCATCTCCCCTCCCCTCATGGCTCTTTGGTAAGCTGGGAAGAAGCCACTTGTACTTACTTCCTCCCACACTGAGCAGGGAATCCGGCTGCCTCCCTGACCAGGCCCCTGATTAAAGATTTAAAGATAGCCTTCAGGTGGCTCTAGGCATACACTTGCAGGCCCTGGTGCCACACCTGAGCAGACATAGCATTTCTGGAGAATCATTTCAATCACAAACCCAATGATCCAAGTGCCATTATGCCATAATAATTCTAGACCTCTCTTGTTTTAGACACTTTTGACCACATTCTGCTTCTTCAAACCATTCTCACGCTCTGCCTACATGATGCTATCTTTCCAGATTCTCATCCTAAATCTACCAATGATCCTTTCAGCATCTCCTTTCCTAGCAACACCTCCTCCTTTGAACCTGTCTCAACTGGAACTGTTAGAAAAACTTTCTAAATTATTTTTCTATATAATATCCCTTGGACGTTAATAGTGACTTCTGTAAAAAAAACATTTTTCAAATATATTTTTTCTCACACTATTAAATCATTTGCTTATAAAAAAAAGCTTATAAAAGAAAGCTTATAAATTTGTCATGATAATTAGTGGTTCCACAGTCTATTGCTTGTGTTTTCATACTGCACCTTTTATAGATTGAAAGCTCGTTAGAGCAGGGAATACACTTAAAAAGTCACGTACATGCAAATTATTATCATTACCCAATTGGTATGTCATTTATGGTTAAAAAAGGCAAAAAATATATCCAACCTCATAGGTTGTGTGTTTCTAATTTTAGCACATGACAGGAGGCTTCATATTTGCATAACTCTCTTTACTGAAAACTTCCAGCAGCACAGAACAACCATTCAGAAAACATTTTAACATTCCACAAAAGGCCCTGACATGCCCCTCACTTCCTCTTTCTTTGCTGCTCCAGCTATAGCGGAGGTCAGAGTATTTTGTCCTCCTGTTATTTTTACTTTGTATTTTACTTATGGTTTAATTTTTCTTATGGTTGTTGTTTAACTCCTACTATCTTACTGCCCCTACTACTATTAGACTTTCTATTATCACTTTTGGCACTTTCTATTTGACCTGAAACACTTAGGTCTATTCTTCCCCTGGAAGCCAGGGTCTTTCTTGCTTCTCTAGCGCCTCGCGCGCGATCACGCTCCTATTTGATTTCCTTTTCCGCTCGAGCTATCTGTGGGGTGGTGTAGGAGTGGTGGGGGGCCCAGCGCTGTTTTCTTTCTCGACGGCAGGCCTGCGAAACCGCACGTCGGCCATCTTGGATCCATCACTGGTACAAAGAGTTACTATCTATTTGTTAAGCTGTTTTTGGACACCTGCACATTGCTGACCATGGAGGTCCCAGCCTTAACGTACAACTGGGGTGAACCTCTTAACGGTATACGTCACCACTGGCAACTTGGAATCCACACTAAAGTGGCATATTTGGGAATACGCCCCACAAACGTTAAGAGATTACCACGTCTCCCATTTCACTAAATGGTAACCCCCCTTTTGTACACCCAGAGGGTGAGCCCCTCTTATTTGGCACTGTACTCTGATTGACGGCTGTATATACATACACTAAGCTGAGTCCAGGGTGAGCCCCAGTTGTACAAGGAGCCTGGCACGTGGTGTGCGTCTCTGGCTACCGTACACCAACTGACTGTCGCTGTCTTTTACAGGGCGGGTAAAGGCATGATGGGCGACATTCCCCCTTCTACACAGGACTTTCAAGCAATGTTTAATGCCACTGTGGTGGCCTCAGTGGAGAAGGCCCTATCACGGGTCATACCACAGGCGCAAGATGCGGGGTCGCCAGGAGCAGGGAGCACCCTGGGATCAGATGCCCCACAAAGCCATACAGGCCCCAAGCGCCACTGGAAGGGTTCCAGTTCCCCACCCGGTGCCAAGGCCAAGGGCAAACCCCCCTTAAAGAAGTCTAAATATTTTGAACAGATGGATCCCCCTCTGCTCCAATCATCCGACGATGACTCTTGCCCACCTCACAATTTGGATGTAGTGGATGAATGGAAGGTGGATGAGTCTCCCTCTGATGAGGAGGATTGGCAAGAAACCGTGATGGTTATCCTGAGAAGGATACCCATGCCCCCCCTGCCCACACCCAAGGGTGATGGGGTTTTCTTGGACCTATTGGGCACACCACTATTTGACCCACACACTATAAGACACCCCAGGTCATCTGAGTGGACCTTGCCAGACCACCTGACCCAGTTCATTCACTTTTGGCTACGCAAACCTTTGGATAATGAAGTCTGGGCAAGTCTGCGGTCAGAGTGCCCCCAACCCCTCATGCCGGACAAGATTGCCAACACCCTGGAATTTGATACCACAGTCATGGTCTTTATGTCACGAACCAGCAGGGACCCTCGCAAGGGCATTGAAAGAGGGCTTAAATCAGCTCAAGACAAGTTATTGGACTTATTCGGCCCACTGGCCTAGATACTTTATTTTGCAAACCTAGCTCTGTCACAGGGTACCCAATTGGACCCAGGAGATATACGTGAATGGGCACAACGCTCAATTTGTATGCTTGGAAACACCAACACTGCCCTCTGCACTGAAAGACGCAGGTCGGCACTTCTAAGGATGGACTCGAAACTCCTGGCTAGAGGCCTCCTGTTTGAGGAGCCATTTATAACAGAGCTAAAGAAGCATGTCAACCTATTCACAATGTTGAACAAGGCTCAATCCTCCCTGAAGTATTCCGCATTCCACAGGAGGTCCGTGGTCAGGGGAAGAGACCAGGTTAAATATAAATTGCCTGGAGTTGATCGCAGTCTGACCAAAGGCCTCTCAGATTGTTGCATCCTGCTCTGGATTGACAACATCTCGGCAGTTCGATACATCAATCGCCTGGGGGGAGCCAGGTCCTGTTCCCTGACGGAAGTGACAAAGGACATTTACAAATGTTGTCTCTCATGCAACATTACGCTGCAGTTGGAGTATCTCCTGGGGATCACCAACCTCACAGCAGACTAGTTCTCTCGCCACGGGCGAGACACCAGTGACTGGCAGCTAGACGACTTAATTTTTCACACCCTGATGGATTTCAGGGGCCCTCTGCAAGTGGACTTGTTTGCCTCCAGGACAAACCAACAACTCTAGAGGTACTTTAGTTGCCTCCCGGACTCGGAATGCGAGGTGGACGCATTCCCACAAAATTGGCTGGACGAGGGGGCCAACGGCTTCCCTACATTCACCATGCTGACGAGGGTGATGCATCACTTATGCCTCCACGGAGGATCCCTCCTTCACCCAAAGTTAATGGAACTTCCCCAAATCCGGGAATCTCCCACGACTGTGCACTTACGACTTAGTATAAACAACAGATAAGCTATTCAGATTTTAAAATGCCATCTTGAACTAAGTCAGGAAAATTTCCATGATGTATGCACTCTTTAGTTATGGCCTTGTATGTTTGCCAAGTTAAGGGAGGTCCTAAAATGAATAAAGTAAAAGAAGTGTTACTTTTTCATATATGAACTAATGTTACCCTAAAATGGAGATACCTAAGGTATAAACAGGTGTACTTTTAAATGTTAAGAAACAGAGGAGAGACTTGGAGACAAACGCTGCTCCATCTTAAAATGACAGAGAGGCTGACATGATGACATGTTCAGAAGGGTATGTTAACCTATTAATGATATTTGCAAGCATTTAGTTTAATCTTACAAACTCTGCTATATGGATTTTATATGTCTATATTTATATTTTTATAAGATAAATATCAAAAAGACAAAACTGTATTGCTTCCAAGACAATCCTTATTTTATATTGTATTCTCAATTATTTATATATGTTAAATAGAGGATCTCTTACACTATATAATATTATGGCTAAGATATCTGTATGGTTAGCCCTACTAAGTTCTATGCTGTAAGACATTATAGTGGTAAATAAGGGAACCACCTGCGGTTACAGTTGGATTCTGTCTTTAGCCAGTGTAGATTCTAGCTTCAGGGGCCGATTCAGTTCGCAGGGCTGTGGCTCCTTGAGCATTTTTGGCGGGCGCATCATTGACCAATATTATGCGATGCACGGATTGGTCACGGGAATCCACGTCCTGCATGTTTTACTTTAGAGAGTCCTCTCATGCTTCTTTTACTTTCCTTGATTCTGAGCATTAAAACTGCAAATATAAAGCCTCCTGTCATGTAATAAAATTGTAGATTATGCTAACATAGTGTACCTATAATCTTAATTTTAGTAATGACAGGAGGCGAATATTTCCCACCCTCTTTCTTGCTTCCCGTCCTGGGTAATTTCCATTCGGCTATTATCTATTTCTCAATTACAATTAATGCTACCTTAAGTTTTCAGTTTTTCTGCAGTTATATATATTTCCTGCTTAGTTGCTGTTGTTATGAAGCTTAGATCAGACTTGTGTTTGGTATTATGACGGTTAAATGTGGTTTACATTAAACTAGTTGCTTCTTTTGAACTTGATATAGACAGTTGTTGGATGATGGACAACATGCCACTTCAGATGCCTTTCATTTCTTTCTGTTTCTTTACAGTGTAATCATCACATTATACCTCGCTTCTGGATAATATGGACACTTTGGATGTTCACACTACCGTAGTCTGAATTGCAAGTTTATTTCTGGATTTCTATCGGATTGTTCACTGTTTGAACTATGTTGAACTCTGTTGAAACTTTGATTCTGGTTTGCTACAAAGAAAGAAGAAGTGAGGGGCTTGTCAGGGCCTTTTGTGGAATGTTAAAATGTTTTCTGGTTGTTATGTGCTGCTGTAAGTTTTGAGTAAAGAGAGTTATGCAAATATTTTCCACATGTCATGACTAAAATTAAGATTATAGGTACACTACGTTAGCATAATCTACAATTCTTCCCACTTACTGCATTGGATTTACAGAACTATCTTTCTGAATATATATATATACATATATATATATATTCCAACAGTATCGTTATTCAGATGCTCCATAACACACTGCATAAAAATCCAATTCATACTGGCACTCTGGATCTTTACTGCAAAATTCCTTTATTATATTACTATGCCAAGTAAAGTCAATGTTTCAGTTTAATATATGAACTTTCATCAGAACATAAAAACTATATTTAACACAAAACAGCCCATATATAGAAACATAAAATCTACTCACCATTCGTGTGACTCTCTGCATGTCCACCGATGGGGTGTGTGTGTTTAAGCTCTGCCCCCCAAAGATCTGATAGTGTTTTAGATAGAGACGTATAGACAAAATCTCGGAACAGTGTGCTCCCAAACAGCATCCAAGCGTAACTTCTTGCATGCGTCTAAACTCTGACAAAAAGACATAATCATCTGACAACAATCTTTGCCATAGAAACATATAAACAATGAAAAAAGATCAAAGTGATCAATGATCAAGTGTTGCTATTAGGTTACAAAGTGAATAATACAATTCAAAGTGCTTGAATTGTATTATTATTAGTACTGCATTGATATGTGATTATACTAAAATTCCCAGTGTTCAGATTATATGTATGTAAAAGTGCCAGTGTTAACATAAATTAACTATAAAATAGTGATAAATATCATGGAACAATGTGAAACAAGAAGCATACGTAATCAACAGAATAGCCTCAAAAATAAATTTCTTTGAAAAAAACATCCTAATGCATTAAATGCATAAAAATTATGTAATACAATACAATATTGGTGGAGCAAAAAACAGTGTGCAATAGAATATTGAAAACGGACAACAGCTCAAATAGCTTGCCCTTTGGTGGGTCCCCGTTCAGATCAAATATAACCATTCCATTTGCATATCAGACTGATCCCACCCAAAAGGGTGACCCAGATCCAAAATGCGGGCCAACTCTCTCTGCACAAGCAATAAAGCAAACCCAGACGATCATTTCAGCCTGATTAGGCATTGCCAGAAAGGCATAGCCAATATCCCGCCAGGTACCGTGAGCAACATGTCCACTTAATCCAGACATGGACCCCTTGCTCACTGTCTTTTGGGTGGGATCAGTCTGATATGCAAATGGCCTGGTTCTTTTTGTAATGGAAAAAGATGTGCTAAAACGATCTTGAGGTCTGAGTGGGGACCCACCGAAGGGCAGGCTATTTGAGCTGATGTCCATTCTCAGTACTCTTTTGTACCTTGTTTATTGTTCTCCCTAAGTTTAAAGGGTAATCCAGATGTGGACTCCTTGCTCATGGTGCCTAGAGGGATAACTGCTATACCTTACTGACAATGCCTAACAAAGTTGAAACTATTGTTTGGGGTTGCTGCATCTTTCGTGCGGAGAGAGCCGGCCTGCATTTTGGATCTGTTCTGCCCTTTTGGCTGAGATCAGTCTGATATGCAAATGGTTTGGTTCTTTTTGTAATGGCACAAGATGCGCTAAAACCAGCTTGAAATCTGAGAGGGGACCCACCAAAGGGCAGACTATTTGAACTGTTGTCCGTTCTCAGTATTCTCTTGTACCTTGTTTATGTTCTCCCTAAGTTTAAAGGGTTATCCAGACGTGGACCCCTTGCTCACAGTGCCTAGAGGGATATCGGCTATACCTCACTGACGATGACTGACAAGGTTGAAACAATCATCTGGGGTTGCTGTATCTCTTATGCAGAGAGAGCCGGTATGCATTTTAGGTGGGATCAGTCTGATGTACAAATGGCCTGGTTGTCTGTTCTCAGTACTGTCTTGCAAGTTTTTTTTTGCTCTTAGTACGATATAGGTGAAAAAAAATAAAATAAATAATCATTATACAAAATGATGGATAGAGTAGTCAACTGCAAAGCTAAAAAATAATTTTTAAGTATCCCAAAAGGGAACGGTTCGTCACTAATTTGTATTACTCATACAAAAGGAGTATATGTTATAGACATGTGAAATTTGTTTTGTTTTGTTTTAAATATGTTTATTGTCATCAATATAAACACGGGTGTTGAACTTGGTATCATTAATGCATATAGTTGCCTACGCAGAGGGGTGCACATTGAAAGTGTACATAATGTGAGGCCGACATATTCCAGTTAGCTCAGAGTAACACATAGTTGCCTGCGCAGAGGCGTAGAAGTCAAAATAAACACGCAATGACAAATTTTAGATATTTATAAGCCTTGCAGAGCTAGACATGCAGAAGGTGGTGAGCTTGCTTGGTATTGCGTTGTTAGGGCGTTGTTGTCAGGTATGTAGTGGCAATTAGGGGTGGCAGTTAGTAACATGTATTCAGCTATCAACTCACTAAATGGTGCTAGTGTGGCTCGTTAATGGGTGTTTTCATTAAGGTGCGTCTCGCACATTTTGCCGTTAGGTATGCGACATGGACTGATGTGTTATAGGCACTCCCCTGCGGGGGTGTGGTCTTAGGTGCTCTGGGTATGGGATCCAGTCGTTGAGTCAGCGGTTTTAAGCAGTGTAGCACTAATGTCATGTACCCTTGCGTGTGATGTGTCACGGCCCTTGTCCGTGAACTATAGCTCTTAAGGGTACCATGGATTTACATTCCACACTTTATATTTAACTGACGACTTCCTTATTTGGGGAGTGCACTGTGGGTGACATATGTTAATAATACACTGTTTTCTTCTGAGATGCCTGTGTTTGCGTATTTATCCCTGTTGCCATAAACTGCAGTGAAGGCCTATCTTGCGAAAATGAGTTAGTTTACGCGTTCTGGCCTTTTGTCTGTAGCCCTGAGTTCTAGTGTGTCTCGTGGCTACCAGCTCGTGCATAATGGGGTTGTATTTGTTTTGTACGTTTCGTGTCCTTCCCCTCTGCTAGTAATGGTGAAACCTTCTGCGGTAAGTCTGTGTCTCCTCTATTGCGTGTTTCCATGGTTATGTCTATGTTGTGTTGCTTTATTCTGGAGCTCTGTGTGTCTGCCTCTATTGTTGCGTCTTTGTGATTCCGGTTTGTGTGCCCGAGTCACTGTTTGTGTGTCGTGGTGCCGTCGCGTTGAGGTGGGTTCACCTGTGTGCGTGGTTGTGGTGTTGTCCTGTGGATTTCGGGGTGTATCAAAAAGGTCTGTGTTTGGGCTGTGGATGTGTGTGGCGCTCAGATCGTGTGGTTTCGCAACTCTCGTCTGGTGCTATCTGACCGCAGTGGCCATTTGCTCTATGTTTTGGCCGTCTGTGTGTTGGTAGTGGGTCTTGGTTCAGGCTGCGTAGTTTGAAGTCTTGGCACGCTGCCGCTCGTATGTGTTGTGTGTTCACTTGTGTATGTCCCCGACTGACCTGCTCATTGTCCCGCCTCCAGTTGTCCTTTGGATATACGACTATGTGTGGCGGCAAGTTGTGTGTCGTGTATGTGCATGTGGGTGTTGTGGGTTGGTGATGGTGGGCGATTCCGACCCCTGTCGCCGTCTCGGTTCGCCGGTCCCCAACTTTCCATGTTAGTGTCGTATTTATTTTGGCTTAATACTCTCCTCCTTCGTCTACTGCGTCGCCATGCGGTTACGAAAAGCGTCAGAGGTGGTTAGTCTAAGCCAGTGAAACCAGCGTTTGGTGTAGCGATCTCTAAGGTTCGGGGTGGTTGCCTTCACGTCTTCGAATTTCCTGGTTGCTTCCACCTCTTCCACCCATCTTGCGATGGAGGGTGTGGTGGCCTGCTTCCAGTATATTGGGACCGTTGCTTTGGCTACGTTTAAGAGCCGTGGGATGACTGATTTACTGTATGTCGGTATAGACATATCCGTGTGATCTAGGAGGAACGTTGCTGGGGAACTTGGAAGCATTTCGTCCGTTACTTCATGTATTACCTCTCTAATCGTGTTCCAGAATGGTCGGAGTCGAGAGCACGTCCACCAGGTGTGTATGAATGTTCCTCTCTCTTTTCCACATCTCCAACAGGAGTCTGTAGCTTCCGGATTCCTGGCGTGGATCGCCGTCGGTGTCAAGTACCATCTGGTGTATATTTTGTATGAGTTTTCTTGCAGCCTTGCCGAGCTAAGTGTTTTTTGTATCAGGGTGATGTTTTTGTCCCAGGCTGCTTCTGTCATGGGTTCATCCAGGTCTTCCTCCCAGTTTCTCATACAAGGGGGTGCCTGTATATACCTTCCTGTAACCAGCATTGCATATATCTGTGAAATGGCACGTGGGGTTTCGGTTTCTTGCGTACAGAGTAGTTCGAATTGTGTGGGGTCTCTCAGTAATGATGGTTTTTGCGGGATAGACCGAGCATATCCTACTATTTGTGCTCTCGCTAGTGTGTGTGCAAAGGTAAGTGTTCGATCTGGAAAAAGGTCTGTGACGCCGCGGACTTCAAATGGGCGTTGGAGGACATCCATCATGCGGGGAGTCTTTGTGCGTCCCCTCGGGCCTGGCATGGGGCCGTGGTCTCCTGCTGGGAAGTCTGGGTTTCCTCTCAACGGCAGTAGCGGGCCTGGATCTGTCGTGAGGTATTGCTTCGTGCCTTGCCTGTGCCAGACCTTCATGGTCGCCGCCACGAATGGGTTGGTAATGTGTTTATGTTTGTACGCGGCTCTGGGTATCCACGGTAGCGTGCGAAGGTCACAATCAGTGATGTCGGATTCTAGCTGGGTCCATGGTTTCGTTCTGCTGGCAACCGACCAGCTGACGATTCTGGTGAGGTGCGCTGCCTGGTAGTACTTTTCGAAATCAGGGAGCGCCAGGCCTCCTCGGAGTTTAGGCAGGGTTAGTTGAGCGTGTGCTATGCGTGGGGATTTGCCCTTCCATACGAACTTGCGGACCTCCACCCGTAACGTCTTAAAGAAGGCTTGTGGGGCTAGTATCGGCACCGTTTGGAACACAAAGAGAAGTTTCGGTAGTAGCGTCATCTTTACGGCGTTTACTCTTCCTAGCCACGATGCGTAGAGGGAGCTCCATTTATTTAGTTCCTCCGTTGCTTTTTTAAGTATAGGGAGGTAGTTGTAGATGTAAAGGTCTCCCGGGGTGGGAGTGAGTCACACCCCTAGGTACCGCATACGTAGGTCGCACCAGCGGTACGGGTGTAGTCTTTGAAGTGTCCGTTTGTGGGCTTGATCTATGGTGAGGTTGAGGATCTCCGACTTAGTGTAATTTATCTGAAGGTTGGAGATCAGCCCATATTCCTTAAATTCTGCCTGTATCTCCGGTAAGGTGGTCTCTGGATGTGTGACCACAAACAGCAGGTCGTCCACATATGCTAGCGTTTTGTGTTGTATCTGTCCAACTGTGAGGCCCTGTATGTTTACGTTCTGTCTGATCCTCCGCAGAAACGGCTCCAGCGTCAACGCGAAGATTATGGGAGAAAGTGGGCACCCCTGTCTGGTTCCATTATATATCTGGAACGGGTTCGTCAGTGCCGTTGGGTTGGTATAGAGGGCCCGTACCCATGTGAGGTAGTGAGGTCCCATCCCGTAGGCTTGGAGGGTCTCGAACATCATATCCCAGTCCACCCTGTCGAACGCCTTTTCCGCGTCTGTGGACAGGAGGAGGGTCTGTGTCTCGAGTGTTCTAGCGTGTGCGATGATGTTCAGGGCTCTGATGGTGTTGTCACGCACCTCTCTGCCCGGGATAAACCCTGTTTGGTCCGGGTGGAATAAGTCTGGCAGTAACGGCGCTAGTCTCGCTGCCAGGATGCTCGCCAGAAGTTTGATGTCTGTATTAAGCACCGAAATCGGGCGGTAGTTTGGGCACAATGTCGGGTCTTTGCCCTCCTTTGGTAGCAGGGTGATGTTTGCTGAGGTGAACTGGGCCGTAGGTGCAGCTCCGTCCTGTATGGAGTTCAGGGCTTTAAGTAGTTTCGGCTGAAGCTCTTGTGTGAAGACCTTGTAGTATTGGAGGGGCAGTCCATCTGGCCCCGGTGCCTTCCCCGTTTTAGCTTTCTTGATGCTCCTCGGGTGTTATAGGCGCTTCTAGCACGTCTTTCTCTGCTCCTGTTATATCTGGCATGTTTGCTGAGTTCAGGTACTGGCGTATGTCTGCCGTTTTCTTATGTCTCTGGTCGTCCTGTGCTTCCTTGCGGAGGTGGTAAAGGTCTTGGTAGTATCGTTGGAACTCCGTTGCAATTTGGTCTGGGAGGTGTCTGATTTGCTGCTGTGCGTTTTTTATTTTTGGTATATACAGCTGTGTCTTACGTTGCCTCAGGAGGTTCGCCAACAGTCTCCCGCACTTGTCTCCGTGTTCATGTATCATGTGTCTGTAGTGTTGGTACGCGCGTTGGATCCTCCTGTTAAGGTGCGCCGTGAGCTGGTTACGTTTATCTGTTAGCTCTCTGTATATTGTTGTTTCTAAGGTTCATTTATGTCTGGCTTCCAGGGTCGCAATTTCGCTGCTCAGCCTGGTTATTTCCCGTATTGCCGTCTTTTTGCGGTTCGCGCATATTGCTATAATCTGGCCTCGTACTACCGTCTTGTGTGCTTCCCAGCATTTCATTGGTGTCACATCCTCCGTTTCATTATCGTGGAAGTAGTCTCGTATGGTTTGGCCTATTTTATCAGTCACTGTCACATCCGATAGGATTGATTCGTTCAGTCTCCAGGACATCTGTCTGGGCTTAAATAACGGTGATGCCATCCGTATGCGGATCGGGCAGTGGTCCGACCACGTCATCAGCAGGATGTCTGCTGCCTTGAGTAGGGCCAAGTTGTGGTGTGCTATTAAGAAGTAGTCTAGCCTCGTGTATGTTGCGTGGGTCTGTGAGTAGAATGTGTAGTCCCGCGTTGTTGGGTTTAGCGCTCTCCAGCAATCCGCCAATTGGTGTTGGTGCAGCAGACGGAGTGTGTTCGCGTGTCTATTATGCGGGGTGTTGCCGAGTGCCGATGTGGAGTCTTGGTCTGGGTGCAGAGTCAGGTTCAAATCTCCCCCCACCATCAGAGTGCCTTCTGCGAACTTCATCAGGGTGTTCAGTGCGTTCTGAAGGAAGGGGAACTGTTTCGTGTTCGGGGCATATATATTGGCGAACGTGTAGGTTTGTTCGAGGATCGTGCCTTTAGTGAAGATATACCTGCCCTGTTTGCATCTTACTGTGGCTTGTTCCGTGTATGGGGTTCTGCTGGAGAATATGATACCCACTCCCAGCGTGCATCTGTCCGGGTTGTTGCTAAAATATCCCGTTCTAAAATTGCGGTCTCGCAGTGCCGGTGCTCTGCCTTCTTGAAAGTGCGTTTCTTGGAGGAACGCTATTGATGCCCTGTAGTGTTTCAGATCCCGAAGAAGTCTTGTGCGTTTCTCTCTGACGTTTAAGCCGTGTACATTATATGAGAGAATGGTTAGGTCTTCCCTGGCGTAACCACCAGGACCTGGGTCCGGCATCCTCCGGACGGCCACAGGGGTGGGTGAGTCTGTTGTGTGGTTCGGTTGGGGAGTGTGTGAGTGTGTGGTGGTGTATTGCTGTGTGTGTAGTCGGTGTTGCGTCTATTCACGACGCCTATATGGCCTCTGTATTACAGTAGGGTAATGGACAATCGTCCCGGGTATTCGACCTCGTAGCCCGGCCTGCGAGAGGGGGCTGGGTCTATTCCGGGAGTAGTGTATCCTCTGATAGGTGGGGATCCCTATGTCCTATGCCTGTGGGGGAATCAGGCTTACCGTCTGCGACGGCTCAGTCCGCTTCTGAGTTCCTAGACGGTCTACGTGTATGTATTAGTACTGTGCGCAGTCCTTAGTCTGTCTCCCGGGTGGCTATTTACTCGGAGCGCCCGCTCCGTTTCTTAGTTTGTGTCGATTATGGGTTCGATTATGAGTGCGTGTCTCGTCGGTTTGCATCTGAGCTGTTACTTTTTGTCCGTCATCTGCTCACGTGTGTGTTTTGGATTGTTTGGAGCCGGCTTGGAATGGGTCTAGCTATTTCGCGAGGTGGGGACGCTGTGGTATGGGGTGCCTCGTGGGTCGAATCGGGCCTGCGGGGTTCCTTTGTTCGGGTTTGTCCTTTGTTTTGGGTGGAGCTTTGAGTCTCTAGTCTAAGGTTTGTCCGCCGTCTTCGCACTGTCTAGGGCCGCGGTGGGTGTTTGTGATGTCTGGGGGAGGGCACCTCCGTCATCTAGTCGCCTGTAGTAACTATTTCGTCGTCATCATTTATTAGCCTTGGTCAGGTCCTAAGACCTGAGTGGCTCTGGATCCGCCTGGAGGCTGGCTTGAGCCAATTTGCATGAGTTTCAAGTATGCGCCTAACATTGCGCGTTTAACTGTAAGCACCGTGGAAAGGGCGTGTATTTTTTTTTTTTTTTTAGAAATATTAATATATCATGGTACAGGGATTTCGTGTATTATCATCGCTGCCTCCGTATATAGCCATGTCTCCCCCTCCCTCCCCTAACCTTTTAATACAGTCCCCTCTCCCCTTCCTTTAGTATTCCCACCCTGTATTCTCCCGTTTTCCGTTGTTTATCCTTGCTCCCACCCTTTTTTTTTTTTCGTGCGCTTCCATCTTACCCTTATTGATCAGGAGCCCCTTAACTCCCCTCCTGCTACTCTACCCTCCCACTCCTCTCCCTGCCCCCTACTCCCCTTTCCCCCTGCCTGGTTTCCTTTTGCGCTGTGGGTTTGCACGGCACTGGAGGCCTTCGGAGTTGCGCCTCTACATTCGGTGCAGCGTGGTTGCATTGTCCTTGTGTCCGTTTGTGTCCTGCATTCCCCATGTGGTCGTTCTCATCATATCACCTTCCCTTGTTCCCCGCCCCAAATGTCCTGGTGCCCTCCCGATTGAGCTTGCGGTAAGGGGCAAGACTCTGGTCATGCCTTGCGTGTTCCCCCCCGGCATATTATAGTTGAGGTATAGTGTCTTTATGACCCTTTGTCCCCCTGTTCCCTCCCCAATTTCTGCGTGCTTGTGTGGTTCTCGTAAGGTGTCCCATGTGATGGTACTCACGATTCAGCTAGTTCTCATCAATGGAATGGGAGTCCCCATTTCCTTGCCTTGGCTGTGCGGTGCTGTGTTCTGTTACTGCTCCCTCTGCGCTTGGCCCTGGTGCCATTCGCGTTGGTGCTGGGGTCGGGGCCTTTGCTGGTCCGCGATGGGTCCGCGCGGTTGTCGTTGTTGCGGGCCCGGTGGTTGTTGGAGGAACGATCTCGCCAGCCAGTCCGGCACCTGTTGCGGCGGGAGGCCTAGGGCGTGTAGAAAGCTTTGGACATCATCTGGCTTCCAGATTGTTAGTTGGTCTTGTCCGTGTCTGGTTTTGGATGACTGCTGGAGAAGTGCAACATAGTATTCCGATCTTTAAAATAAGGGCACTGAATAATCAAATGCCAAATCCACACACCACTCTCTGTGTACCAGATGACAATAAATAAATGTAATACTTATACATATGCAGGTGTGTATCAGAGATATTCCATATGGTAAATTCCTATAATAACAAAAGACAATACATAGTATAGACTGTATGTATAAATGGAGAAATAAGAATAATTGAATCCACTCACGGATTACAGAGCCGTACCAGGCTCTGTATATAGTGCCCAAAGGTGCCTCAAAAGGCTAAACGGGTAATCTCAGGCGATGTCCCTCAGAGTCAGAAGAAGCAGCAATAGTAGTAAAAAAATGAATACATTTATTGTAAGTAAAAAATATATAAAAACATCTGTGTTGTTCTCATATAGTAATACACAGAAATGCAGACGCGTTTCAACTCAGTCCGAGTTTTCATCAGTGCATAAGAGTTCATCTAGCTGCTTGTTCTTTTAAATTCGCTGCTTCTATGGCTGCCGATCACGTGGGCGGAAGTTCGGCTTGCCGGTGTCTGATGTCACTTCCGGTGTTCCGGTGCTCATTTCATCGGCTTGATTCACTTCAAAGTGTTTACCCAATTGAAGCAGAAACTTCCGTATTGTACATGGGCATCTATTAGAACTTATAAAGTACATGTATATACGAATTAAGCAATAATATAACATAATAATGTGTATCAATAATACAAGTAATACCTATGGAAATCTCTTACAAGAGGAGAATAAGAGGATATTGTGCAATGTCATGCATATATTTACCACATATGTAACATATAAATAAAGCCCATATGAATAGGATTGGTTGGTCCAAGATCAATAAAAGTAAAAACAAAATGATATAAATGAGAAAGAATATAAAATGAAATAGGATTATGAAAATAAATATGAGTAAATAAAAATAAATATAAAAATAAAAATAGAAATAATAAAAATAAAAATAAATAAAAATAAAAATAAGGATAAAAATAAAAATAAATAAAATAGAATAAAAATAAAAATGAAAATAAGTAAAAAGAAAAAAAGAAAAGAAAAATGGAAATAAGAATAAGAAAATAATAAAAATAAATATGAATAAAGATAATAATAAAAATAAATAAAATAAAAAAATAACTAATAAATAATAAAAATAAAAATAAATAAAAAATAAGAATATAATAAGGATAAATAAAAATTTAGATAAAATTTAAAATATGTAAAAATTAAGTATATAGAATGGCTCATTTTTTATAGCCATTCTATATACTTATTTTTTACATATTTTAAATGTTATCTATATTTTTATTTATCCTTAATATATTCTTATTTTTATTTATTTTTATTATTTATTATTTTTATTTTTTTATTTTATTTATTTTATTTTTATCCTTATTTTTATTTATTTTTATTTTTATTATTTCTATTTTTATTTACTCATATTTATTTTCATAATCCTATTTCATTTTATATTCTTTCTCATTTATTTCATTCTGTTTTTTACTTTTATTGATCTTGGACCAACCAATCCTATTCATATGGGCTTTATTTATATGTTACATATGTGGTAAATATCTGCATGACATTGCACAATATCCTCTTATTCTCCTCTTGTAAGAGATTTCCATAGGTATTACCAGGGCCGGACTGGGGATACAAAGCAGCCCTGGAAAAAAAAATTGTGCCAGCCCCATAAGTCACTGCGCCATATATTGTCGCGTGTAATATGTAAGGCTATGTCTTGCCAGGACAGAGGTTTGAGTAATATATATATATATATATATATATATATATATATATATATATACTGCTTTTCCTAATATAAAATATTGGTACTTTCAGGGAAAAACGTTTAATTATACAGTAAGCATACTCACATGCAGACACAGGCAATTTCACTGACATCTCAATGACACACACAAGCTCATTGATACACAGCCTCATAGACAAACAATCTTACTGATATACATCAGCTCATTGACATAAAAACACAAGCTCACTCACTAGCAGGCACACGCATGCAAGCATGCTCACTCACTAGCAGACGCACACACACAGCTTAATGTGGTGGTACTGGTGTCTATAGCATGTCCCTACAGGCTTTTCAACGTAAATACTGACTTTTCAGAGAAAACTCAGTGTTTACATTGCTTCAAAGTGACACTACTAGTGACAGTCACTCAGACGGTCACTAGAGGTGCTTCCTGTGTTAGTGCACCTACATTCAGGGCCTCCACACTCTGTAGGTGCTGAACGTTCCCCATAGAGATACATTCAATGCATCTCTATGAGGATATGCTGATTGGAGTGGTGTTTTGCAGCCAATGCTATGGCAAAGCATTGGTTTGGCTGAGATCATCAAGCTTGATGATCTTAGCTATAGAGGCAGGGCCAGTCGAGGGGAGAACAGCACGCTGCGTGGGGGGGAAAAAAGGTGAGCAAAAACACTATTTTTAAACACACATTTACACCATGACAGACACAGAAACACACATATACCATGACAGATACACACCCCATGACAGACACACACACACCATGACAGACCATGACACAGACAGACACACACCATGACTGACAGACAGACACACACACACACCCCATGACAGACAGACACACACACACCCCATGACGGACAGACAGAAAGACACACACACACCCCTTGATGGACAGACAGACACACACACACCCCATGACGGACAGACAGACACACACACACCCCATGATGGACAGATAGACACACACACCCCCCATGACGGACAGACACACACACACCCCATGACAGACAGACACACACACACTCCATGACGGACAGACACACACACACACCATGACGGACAGACAGACAGACACACACCATACAGACAGACACCATGACACAGACAGACAGACACACACACCATACAGACAGACACCATAACACAGACAGACACACACACACACACCATACAGACAGAGAGACACCATGACACAGACAGACACACCATACAGTCAGATAGACACCATAACACAGACAGACAGATTACTAATACCTGCCAGGGGGAGGTCTTCAAGAGGCCGCTGGGGAGGTCTTCTGGGGGCTGCTGGGGGAGATGCGCTGGCTCTGCTCTCCCGCCCTCGCGCGCAGCTGAATGAGACCGGCACCGGAATATGACGTCATATTCCGGTGCCGGTCTCATTCAGCAGAGTGCGAGGGCGGGAGAGCAGAGCCAGCGCATCTCCCCCAGCAGCCCCCAGAAGACCTCCCCAGCAGCCACCAGCAGACCCAGGTGTCTGCCCGGCCCCAGGTGCCGACGGCCCACCGGGAAATTTCCCGGTATCCCGGTGGGCCAATCAGGCCCTGGGTATTACTTGTATTATTGATACACATTATTATGTTATATTATAACTTAATTCGTATATACATGTATTTTATAAGTTCTAATAGATTCCCATTTACAATATGGAAGTTTCTGCTTCAATTGGGCAAACACTTTGAAGTGAATCAAGCCAATAAAATGAGCGCCGGAAAACCGGAAGTGACATCAGACGCCGGCAAGCCGAACTTCCGCCCACGTGATCGGCAGCCATAGAAGCGGCGAATTTAAAAGAACAAGCAGCTAGATGAACTCTTATGCACTGATGAAAATGTGGACTGAGTTGAAATGCGTCCGCATTTCTGTGTATTACTATATGAGAACAACACAGATGTTTTTATATATTTTTTACTTACAATAAATTTGTTAATTTTTTTACTACTATTGCTGCTTCTTCTGACTCTGAGGGACATCGCCTGAGATTACCCGTTTAGCCTATTGAAGCACCTTTGGGCACTATATACAGAGCCTGGTACGGCTCTGTAATCAGTGAGTGGATTCAATTATTCTTATTTCTCCATTTATACATACAGTCTATACTATGTATTGTCTTTTGTTATTATAGGAATTTACCATATGGAATATCTCTGATACACACCTGCATATGTATAAGTATCACATTTATTTATTGTCATCTGGTACACAGAGAGTGGTGTGTGGATTTGGCATTTGATTATTCAGTGCCCTTATTTTAAACTTTTTTTTGAGGTGTTGGGGAACACTCTTGTTATCTCACCACTGTTCTGTGCTCATTTTATTGTGTAAGCGCCATTCACTCTCTCTTTCCATTTCTATAGTATTCCAATCAGTTGGCTTGGAATATAACCAATATTCCAACTTTCCTTGACAGGAAAATGTGAAGGTCCAAGAATTAGATATCTGTCCGATTAATTTGTGATATGACTTTTATAGGTCTGGGCAAATCAATATAGTTGGGATGTAATACGGATGCTGGGTACCTCCGCCAAATTCGCTTCCTAGTTGGAACCGGGAAACCTGAAGCGCTTCTGCCCTAGTCGCAGCAGGTTCACAGGGGTCCCTCTGGAGCTTTTCCACCTGACCAGGCTCTCCTTCCAGGCAGGTATCGTCCCCTCTGCCTATTCTGCCGCAGCCCTCCTTCCACGTAGGTATCGTCCCCTCTGCCTATTCCGCTGCAGTCCTTCTTCCAGACAAGTATCGTCCCCTCTGCCTATTCTTCTGCAGCTTTCATTCCAGGCAGGTATTGTCCCCTCTGCCTATTCCTCTGCAGCTCTGCTTACAGCTATTGCCTTTACAAAGGCACTTGCGGCTCTCAGGCCTAGCTCTGATTTATCCCAGGGCTAGAGGGATCCTGCAACCAGTCAAGAGGCCTGAAGATTATGTCACTGGGATCCCTAAAAATCCACACAGGGCACTTAGTTCCAAATGAAACTAACTTGCCAAACTTTATTTTTCTTAGGTAAGAAAGTGGGGGATGGAATGTATCAGTGCTTGTAATATGGCTGCTAGATCTTCCCTGGAACCAGAGTCTCTTCTTTTCTGGCGGAATGGTAGGTATAGAAGGTAGTG